GTGCCGCCGCCCGCACCCGACCGCCCGCTGTTTCCGCCGCCTCGACGATCTTTTTCGTCGTCGCTTTGGCCCGGCCCCGGACCTCCCTGACTGGCACAGCCTGCTCCGCCAGGGCGTGCCGATCTTTGAGTTAGACATGGATCAGATAGGTGCTGCTTTGCATGCTTTGTATGCTGACGCTTCTAGTGTTGATGGATCTTACTACCCTGTGTACTCTAGTTTAGGTGTTTCACCCTTGTGTAGCTTAGCTTCCCCTGCTGCGACAGGCGTAGGACTGCCTAGGTTGCCTAGTCTAGTCGCTGCACCGGCTCCGTCCCCGGCCCCCGCCACTACGTCGCTGTCCTTCACTCTCGACTCTGGTGCTTCTGCCTGCTTCTTCCGCGACCGTTCCACGCTCACGCCGCTTGCTGCACCTGCTGTTGTCTCTCTCGCTGACCCCTCTGCGGGTCCGGTCGTCGCGCGCAGTTCTACGTCCCTTCCCTGTCCGGCAGTTCCCTCGGGCTCCCTTACTGGCCTCCACGTTCCCTCGTTCTCCAGGAACCTGGTTGGTGTCGGCTGTCTCCAGGACCTCGGCGTCACCACCACGTTCCCCGGGCACGAGCGGTTCGCTGTCTGTTCTGAGGCTGTCTCAGGTTCCCCCCTTGCGACGTTCCCCCGGGACCCGGTGTCCGGTCTGTTTACCCTACACACCGCTTCCCCCCCGGTTGGTGCGTCCTCCCAGGTCGCTGCAGCTTGCTCGTGTCGGTCCCTCACTCACCCCTCCCTTCTCTGGCACCACCGCTTAGGTCACCCTGCTCTCCCGCGTCTGCGTCACATGTCCCAGCACGGTCTTGTCTTAGGTCTCCCCGCGTCGCTCCCTGCCCTTCCTCCCTCGACTGCGCCACCGTGCACGCCTTGCGTCGAGGGTCGGCTCCGCCGTGCTCCTCACTCCTCCTCGCTGCGTCCTGCTACTGCCCCCCTTCAGACCCTGCACTTGGACGTTTGGGGCCCTGCCCCCGTCCCCGGACCGCGCGGTGAGCGCTACTTCCTTGTGCTTGTCGACGACTACACGCGCTACACCACGGTGTTTCCCCTGGAGCGGAAGGCCGACGTGCCCGACGTTCTTCTCCCGTGGGTTGTGGCTGCGCGTCTCCACCGCGGTCTCCCCGTGTTGTGTCTCCACTCCGACCGTGGCGGCGAGTTCGCCTCTGGTCGGCTTGGACAGTTCTGTCGTGCGGAGGGCATCACCCAGTCGTACACGTTGCCGGACTCGCCACAGCAAAATGGGGTTGCTGAGCGCCGCATCGGCTTGGTCATGGAGGTCGCCCGTACCTCCATGATCCATGCCGATGCCCCCCATTTTCTGTGGCCGTTCGCTGTTCGCTACGCGGCTCACCAGCTTAACCTGTGGCCACGCTCCCAGCGGCCGCAGGTTTCGCCGACCCTCCTTTGGACCGGGTCCCCCGGTGACGCGTCTGCGTTCCACGTCTGGGGCTGCCTTGCTCACGTTCGTGCCTCTGGCACGGACAAGCTCACTGCCCGCACTGTCCCCTGTGTCTTCCTCGGTTTCCCCCTGGACTCGTCTGACTGGCTTTTCTACCACCCGCCGTCTCACCGCTTCCTCCACTCTCGTGACGTCACCTTTGATGAGTCCGTCTCCTTCTACCGCCGCTTCCCTCACCGAGGTCTCCCAGTTGCCCCCCCCCTTTTCCTTGCTCCCTCTCCCCCGGTAGCCCCTGCCCCTCTCCCGCCTCGTCCTGCCCCGTCTGGTGTCTCCCACGTCACTCCCCTCCCGTCGGTTGTCCCCGTTGAGGAGTCTGCTGACTCTGGTGGTACCCCCGGTCCGTCCTTGCCGCGTCCCCCTTCCCCGGTGCCTCCGCCCTCACTGTCGCAGTCGCCGACCCCGCTGCCGCCGCCGTCGCCGTCGCCGCCGCAGCCGTCGCCGCTTTCGTCGCCGCCGCCGCCGCTGTCGCTGCCGCAGCCGTCGCCGCTGTCGCCGCCGCCGCAGCCGTTGCCGCCACTGCCGCCGCTGCTCTCGGCCCCTGGGGGTGCTGGTGTGGAGGAGGGTGTTCGTCCTGCGGCTTCTGGGGGTGCCGCTGGTGTTGGAGGGGGTTCTCGCTCTGGGGGTGTTGGTTCTGGGGGTGCTGCTGTTGAGTGTTCTGCCGACGGTCGTTCTGCCTCTGCTGGTCCGAGAGTTCCGGCCCAGCCGTCGTCGCCGCCGCAGCAGCCGTCGCCGCCGGTTTCCGCTCTCCGCCAGCTCGGCCTTCCCTCCCCGGACCGCGCGCCGGTGTCTCCCCCACCGCCTCCTGACCTCCCTGTCTACGGTCCTGTGTTCCCGCCGCCAGACTCGTCTCCGGCCCGTCTTCCTCCTCGTTCCCCTCCTGTGTCTCCTCCGCTGTCCCCTGACCCTACCCCTCCGTCTCACATTTGGGCTCGCCGTCCCTCCCGTGCTCGTCCCGTCTCTCCTGTCCTGCCCACCCACCCTATGTTGCTCCGTTCCCACTCGTCTCGTCCTCCCCTCCTCCCGTCCCCTCCTCCCTCGTCCCTTGCTGTTGCACCTCCTCCGTTCTCTGACTACCTCCGTGCTGCTCGTCCCCTTGTCCCTCGGGTCCTTGCCTCTCTTGTTACCGACCCTGCTGTTCCTGTCTCGCGCCTTGACGCGCTTGTCGCTGCTGTCGCTGACTTCGCTTCTACCCGCCGCCTTGACTACGCTACCGCTCTAATCTCTGACCCTGCCCGTCCTCTGTCCGTCGGGGGTGCTCCTGCCCTTGGCAGTGACGTCCTAGAGGACAGGCAGTACGAGCTGGCTTTCCTTTCCGAGGCTGCTCCCCATCTCTGCTCCATGCTGTTAGTCCCTGAGGGTGACCCAGACGCCTTCGACATCCCGACCCCTCGCACCTACGCTGAGGCCACCTCGGGACCTTGGGCCTCTCAGTGGATAGCTGCCATGGAGCAGGAGATGGCATCTTGGAGATCCACCGGCACTTACGTCGACGCAGTTCCCCCGCCTGGGGTGAACGTAGTCGATGGTCGGTGGCTCTTCAAGGTGAAGCGCCCCCCTGGAGAGCCGCCTGTCTTCAAGGCGCGCTACGTGGCCAGAGGTTTCAGTCAGCGCGAGGGGGTTGACTTCTTCCAGACCTTCGCCCCGACCCCGAAGATGACCACTCTTCGGGCGCTGCTACACGTAGCAGCACAGCGTGACTATGAGCTTCACTCCCTCGACTTCTCTACTGCCTTTCTTCAGGGCAGCCTACACGAGCAGGTCTACCTGCGCCGACCACAGGGCTTCACTGGTACCTTCCCTCCTGGGACCCAGTGGCTTCTCAGGCGCCCGGTCTACGGCCTGCGTCAGGCTCCCCGCGAGTGGCACGACACGCTACGTGCCACGTTAGCAGACCTGCAGTTCTTTCCGTCCTCTGCTGACCCTTCACTGTTTGTGCGTTCCGGCCAGACTCCGTTCTACATCCTTGTCTACGTAGACGACCTGGTCTTCGCTACTCCTGACAGGGACGCACTGGCCTCTGTGAAGGCTGAGCTACTGAAGAGACACACCTGCACTGACCTTGGAGAGCTGCGTCGCTATCTTGGCCTGCAGATCTCTAGGGACAGAGCAGCACGCACCATCACTCTGACCCAGTCACACTTGGTGCGTCAGGTCCTTCAGAGGTTCGGTCTTCAGTTCTCCTCCGCACAGCCCACACCTCTACCCGTAGACCATGGGCTCTCTGCTCCCGTTCCTGAGGAGCCAGTAGAGCCCAGTGGCCCCTACGCAGAGCTGGTGGGTTGCCTCATGTACCTGATGACTTGCACTCGCCCAGATCTCGCATACCCTCTCAGCATCCTGGCTCGCTTTGTGGCTACAGGCAGACACCGACCTCAGCACTGGTCTGCCGCTAAGAGGGTTTTGCGTTATCTTGCTAGTACATCAGGCATGGGGTTAGTGCTAGGAGGACGCAGGCCAGTGGTCCTTACTGGGCACACAGACGCTTCTTGGGCAGACGACGCTGAGACGCTCAGGTCGTCGCAGGGCTACTGTTTCAGCCTTGGTTCGGGTGCTATCTCTTGGAGATCCACTCGCTCGTCGTCTGTGGCTCAGTCTAGCTGTGAGGCTGAGATCTACGCTGGTGCCATGGCGGCACAGGAGCTCCGCTGGCTGACCTTCTTGCTCACAGACTTAGGTGAGCGGCCTAGCTCTGCCCCGGTCCTGTACGCTGACAACAGGGCCATGATACTCCTGTGTCAGGAGCCTCGGCTTGAGGGCAGAGCGAAGCATATCCAGCTGCGGTACTTCCTCCTGCGCGAGCTACAGCAGCGCCGCCAGGCCCGCGTAGTTCACTTGGCCTCACGTGCCAACACAGCTGATATCTTTACTAAGGCGCTTGCGCCTAAAGATCATCAGCGGCACTGTGTACAGCTTGGTCTTGTTCCTATAGCTGCTCCCCTGTTAGGATCCTGATTGTGTACTCTCTATTATATATGCTTGTCAGACTGGCCTTGTGGCCTTACCTCCAGTGGCTGGACTAGTAGTGCCACCCTGGCTTGCTTCAGTTTTGGTTGTATTCTTGCTGACTGGTCTCCAGACCCCTGCCTCAGTGGTTGGACTAGTAGTGCCGCCCTGAGCTGTTTGCTTCTTGTTTAGTTTCACCCCTTGTCTAGCCTAGGGGGTGTGTCAACTTATACATATTATCTATGTAGAAGTTATAGGCTAGACTGAGGTATGCTTCTAGTGAGTACAACCAACTAGTATTTGTTCTAGGTTTCCACTTCTAGTAATCATTCGTTTCTACGTTAACATACGCAACGGGAACGCAGGGCGAGGGTCCGGTGGACACGACCTGCTCTGATACCATATCAGAATTGGAATTGTAATTGATGGTAAAGTGAGAGTACACACAAATATACCTAAGTGTTGTACCCTCTAAGAGGTAACCCTATACAGTCTATACAAACATGACAAATACAGATGTTTGACACTATATACTAAATGTTCAATTATATATGTTGTCAGATTCGACAACAACCTCGATGATTTGTAGTATAAGGTGCATTTAGTCAACCGTCTTAGGAAGCACTACACTAGAATCTACATACGGTACCAGTACCTAGAACATGGCTGTAATGACAACCCTGTAAAATTTTATTAACAGCATACATCAAAAGAAGAGGGTGTAAAGTCCCATGGCCATACAGCAGACAGCAACCCATGGACTAAGCCTCTCTCCTGAAGACAACTCATCAAGCAAGCACAGACATTAAAAAAAAAAGTGGGTGAGAGGGCACTGCCGGGGTTAGTAAAAACGATAAGGACCATGTCATGGAAAAGAGATCCCCCCCCACCCCCCCTTCTCCCTCCCCTTTTCAACAACAATTTTAATCTCTTACCAATTCTTGCTGCTTTCCAAAAGAAGCCCCGGAATCTACACAGTAAAACCCGTGACACACGGGCATAAGACGTGGCACAGGGGAATCAGAAGTGGCAGAGAGGAGTACGAAGTGGCACAGAGGAGTAATAAGTGGCACAGAGTAAGAAGTGGCACCGAGGAGTAAGAAGTGGCACAGAAGAGTAAGAAGTGGCACAGAGGAGTAAACGGTGGCACAGAGGAGTAAGAAGTGGCACAGAGGAGTAAAAGGTGGCACAGAGGAGTAAGAAGTGCTACAGGGGAATATGAAGCGCCACAGGGGATCAGGGATTCCACAAGCAGCTTAGGAAAAAATGCCATTTCTGAGAGCAACATTCAACAGAATGATTGAGAAACAGCAAAGTGCGGAGCGAGGAAGAAGCTAACCCTGTTTTTTGTTGCAGGAGGTTGGGGAAATGGATCTTCACATAGGTGCAGGTGCAGATGACCAACAGCACCACGGATAGAAACGCTTGAAAGTCAAAGAGCGCGGACTGTGGGAGAACGGAAGAGAGGGAAGCGAGAGACAGGTAACGACAGGAGAGCGTGATTCATGACCAGCTTATAGATCACCTGCAAATTTGCCAGTTGTCTGGGATTCGCGGCCTACGTGCAAAGCCCGGAGAAGATCATGTGCTATGTTGTTATGTTCTGCTGGAAACTGTGGGTTGAAAGAGATTCGACGAGGGTAAATTTGATGGACGCGTATTGGGGGAGCACCGGCACGGATGAAACAGCCACATCAACAACCTCGAATCGCCTTTAACTCACTAAGAATAGGAGCGTCGTTCCCGTCCCCCTAATTCGGACTCACCATTGCGGCTTGATGGAACTGGCTGTGACGGTTCCGGGACCGATCGGTCAACCAGCCGACGACTGCTCCGCAACCTACAGAATCCCAGCCTTCTACACACTGCCTTCGGCAGCTGGAAAGGCTGACAGCAATAGGTAAGCGAGCGAATCGGGCGTCCCCTGAGCTAGAATCAACAGGAGGTAACTTGCTTTGGCGAAGGGAATCAGTGCTACGATCGGCGAACACCTGAGAATGGCAGGCTTGGACCCGGAGGCAGGACAGCGTGTGCGCAGACGGTAGCAACGACTAGACAGGAATTGACAGATTCCGTTCGCGTCAGGTCCGGGAACTACAGCGTGTCTAGAAGTCCTCAACGGCAAGCACCCTCTGGTGAATCGAACGGACGGCTCCCGTCAAACTTCCGCGTGTGACCGGACGGCTGGTATTGATGGAATTCCACAGATCAAGACGGGAAGCACAGCCAGAACGGCGAACCTGCTAACGGCTAGCGGGAACACTAGGGTCCGCCTTCAGGTGAGGAGAAAATGCAGAGCGAGGCATGGTACACACCGGTACAGAATGACGAAGGGCCAGATTCGGGACAGCCACAGTTTGGTATGGTGCGGTATCTTGCGGTTTAGGCTCCAAATCGTCAAATGTTCCCAACCATTCTCAAATTTAAACGAACAACTTATGAAACGCAAAGCACCCCGCTGAATCGCATTGATTGAAACCTTGTTACACGCGCAGAGTAATGTACATCGACATGGTTAGCATCGATAGTGGTTGTGTTATATGCTACTATTTGCACAAACATACAATGACAGACACACCTATAGCATGAACCATAACACTGTAAAGATGTCAAACCCCTAGGTGTCAATTTAACCATTATCTCATGTGCCGAGCCGATGCTGAGCTACCTAAAATGTGTCTAAGAAGCCCCCAACCAGCAAGCCTCAATAAAATTAGACGGCTTGGAACATGCACAGCCTGTTCTGGTATCCAACCATGCCGAATACCAAGGCCACATGCATGCACATCACAGCCAAATCCGCCCTAATGCAGCAGCTTTTAGACCACATGACAGGCCCAAACCTGTGCCCGAAAGTATATTGTTGACGAGGGGGAAAAGGCTCTTGATGAAATCTCCTGGAAACTCAAAGATCCGAATCACCGAACCAACCACAATGCTTCTGCCTCCTCGCAGCACACTGCCTCAGCCTCAGCAACCTCCAACTCACGTCTTCCCAGCTCCTGCGGAGTCCACCGCATCTCCAGCTCCATTTTCTGACCCCCTGCCCGAAACCAGAGCCTTGGTGCTAGAAGCTTCCTCGTAGGCTGCTGCCCAGGAGAAAAAAAAGCACAGCACGGAATCTGTAAGAAAGCGCGGACGAAGGTGAGAAGCCGATGTGGCTTGGCGGAAGATCCAACAACTAAAACGACACATTAGAGCCAAAACTAAGGGTAGCCAACACAGACAGGCAGAAATACATGTGGTCCGTATGAATGCACAGCAACACCCAGCACAAACACGCACACGCACGCATGCAACACCACCCGTGCCCACCCCCCAACAGCACGTACCACCATCCTCCTCGACAGCAGCAACAGGTGGAGCCCCAGAGGCACCAGCAGCGGAGCCGGATCGTGCCATGGAGCCCTGGAGGCTGGCGCTGGCGCGCGACTTCTTGCGGCGCAGACGCATCCAGCGCGGCGCCTTGACGTGTTGCATGAAGTCCAGCATGGGTGTCTTGGCCACTGGGATGAACTTGCCCAGAAATGCCAGGGGCCAGCTGCGTGGGTGGGAGGAGATTGGGGGCGGACAAGAGGGGGCGTGGGTGTGAGAGTGGGAAAGTTGGTTAAGAGGACCAGGAGAGGGGGAAGGGGGTCACTGTGTGTGACACACGGCATTCTGCGTCCTGGCAGAGGGCAGGCAGGCACGAGTGTGAGAAGCATGTCGTGTGTGAGCAAGACAGCATGGGTAAGCAATGGCAGCAGCAGGATTGGCAGCAGCAGCAGCATTGGCAGGCGGAATGGCAACAACGGAGAAGGAGGGCCATGGAGAGAGACCTGACGGAGCCAATGGCGACACAGATGAGCCACTGCGACCAGGAGAGAGACACGGTCTTGGCAAAGTTGTGCAGCAGCTCCACTATGATTATCTGGGAGGAGAAAGGGGGGGGGGGGGGGGGGGAGGGGGAGGGAGGAAGGGAGGGAGGAAGTATGAGTGTGTGCGTGCGTGAATACAGTGAGGATGAACTAATTTATAGCAGTGAGGAGGACACAAAGAACGGGCATGCATGCAGGCGCACACACCCATGCACAACGCACGCTTGCTACTTTGAAAAAACAACAAACAAAAGCAGCACATGGCCCTCATTTACAAGCCTTCTCTAGACTCGATCCGAAATCAGAACCAAACGGAATGGGCGCTTGGCCCTCATGTCACATGGAAGCCGTGAGCCTTCGTAAAACGATGACTCACTTAGAAGCTGTGAGGCATCTTAAAACTATGACTGACTTGGAAGCCGTGAGCCATCTTAACAACTCTGACTCTCTTGGAACGCCTGAGCTGTCTCAAAACTCCGACTCACTTGGAAGCCGGTGCTGACGACGAGCACGAAGATGAAGAGGGGGTTCTGCAGGAGCCCGTCAAAGATGTTGAACTTGTCTGGCTTGCGCGCATTCACCTCGTTGAACAGCTGTTGCACCCACGGGCAGCCATCGCAGGTGTGAGGCACAGGGGAGCACAGGGGGGCGCAGGGGGGCACAGGGGGGCACAGGGGGGCAGCCAGTAAGGGCCAGGTAGGAGTAACTCGGGGGAGAAGGTGGAGCAAATGGACCAGAGGGAGGAGGGCAGGAGGTGGGGCAAAAACGAGGCAGGGGAGAAAGCAAGCAAAAGGAAGGGGGGGCGCACAAGGGCAGCACAGGCAGGGGCATGAGAAGTCGTGTAAGGTAGAAAAGGTGCATGCAAAGGGGGCATGAGTTCAGCAGGCTGAAAGCCATAGCCCTGAAGGGGAAACTGAAGCCTTAGGCGCCTCAAAAACATGCCATCCTTCCTTTGAGGCAGCGCCCTGCATGCTGATGCTGATGTGCATTGCCTGGCAGGTGGAACTCAGGAGCAACAATACACACCTGGGCGAAGACAAACGAGTTGAAGATCATGGTGTTGCGGATGCCATCCCTGTTGGGATTGTCTTCGATATTCAGAATCGCGTTGCCCTTGTAGTTTAGAGTCATGAGCACGATCACTTGGTATGCGGACTGCATGTATGCATGCATGCACGCACACGCACACACACAGAAAACGCACACACACAGGCACACAGGCACACACACAGGCACACACACAGGCACACAGGCACACACACAGGCACACAGGCACACACACAGGCACACACACAGGCACACACGGGGAATGACATGAGGAGAGGGGAAAAGGGGGGAACGGTGGGGTGCGGAAGAGGGGGGAGGGAGGAAGGGTTACAGGAAAGAGGTGGAAGGGGGAGCCGTGGAAGTAGCAGTTACAAGTGATGAGTGAAGTAGCAGTTACAAGTGATGAGTGAAGTAGCAGTTACAAGTGATGAGTGAAGTAGCAGTTACAAGTGATGAGTGAAGTAGCAGTTACAAGTGATGAGTGAAGTAGCAGTTACAAGTGATGAGTGAAGTAGCAGTTACAAGTGATGAGTGAAGTAGCAGTTACAAGTGATGAGTGAAGTAGCAGTTACAAGTGATGAGTGAAGTAGCAGTTACAAGTGATGAGTGAAGTGCAGCCAAGTACAGTTCACGACAACATTGTCACGACATCGGGCGGCGACGGCAGGGTGGGAACAGCGACAGCAGGGAGCAGCGAGTGGGAGCAGCGTGGGCAGGCACCTGAATGAGGATGTTGCGCCACATGATGTTGGTGATGAGAGGCGCCCTGGCATGGGTAGGAGAAAGAGAGAGAGAGAGAGAGAGAGAGAGAGAGAGAGAGAGAGAGAGAGAGAGAGAGAGAGAGAGAGAGAGAGAGAGAGACACACACACACAAAAGGGAGGGGAGGGAGCAAGGGAGCAGGGGGGGGGGGGGGAGTTCTGAGGGAGGAGGAAGAAACGCATGGTACATGTTGGTGCAACCTCATGGCTTGCAGTCTGCTTGTTGCCTTTGGTCGTATGTGCGTGTCTGTTTGCATGGAATGAACATAACAGGTCAGAAACTGACAGGGCGGCAAGATGATGGCGGATTGGATTGGAGGAGACAAAGAGAATGCGCATCAGGGAAGTGCGGGAGGAATGTAAAAGTGGGGGCGAGAGGAGAAGAACGTGAGAGGGAGAGGGAAGAAGGGAGGGGGGTCGGTAGAGGAGGAGGAAAGGTGGGGGAAGATGGGGGAAGATGGGGGAGGGGGGAGGGGATGGAAGACGGGGAGTGACACCTAGAGGGAAGAGGGGAAAGGGAAAGTGTGAGAAGGGGAGGGGAACGTTCAGGGAGGAGGAAAGGGGCAGAGAACGATGGAGTGGGAAGGCTTGGCAGAAAACCTCACCAACTTAAATAGCAAGGCCACATAAGGGGTCACATATCCTCTGAAACACCCCCTCACATGAAGACTCACATGTCCCATTCACCTCCCCATCCCGAGCCCTAACCCCTCGCCACTCTCCCCCTCGGACCTGCTTCAGCCTCGTCCCCCCTCACTCACTATTCCACCCTCCCCCCCACCCCCACTCCCACCCCCCTGCACACTCCCTCCCCCCCGCGCACTCACTTGCGCCCCACGGGCATTTGGTCCAGGAGCTCGTCAGTGGGGGGCTCTGTGGCGAGAGCCAGCGCTCCCAGCGTGTCCATGATGAGGTTCACCCACAGCAGCTGCGAGGGAAAGGGAGGAGAGGGGAGTGCACAGGGGAAGCACAGGGGGCTCAGATGCGGGGACTCTCACATGAGAGCCAGCGCTCCCAGCATGTCCATGATGATGTTCACCTGGACTGCGTTGAGCGTAAGGCGCAAAAAAAGGGCGTTATTTTAAATTTTTATTTATTTTTATTTGACCGTATAATACGGTATCGAAATTTTTGGCCGTATAATACGATAAAAAACGGTCGAAAGTGCCATTTTCAGGGTGGTGCAAAAAAACGGCCGTTTTTCCAGCCGAATTTTTTTAACCCAGGTGGAATAGACGGCGGAAAATCGCGGATCTGGCACTTTGACCATCGAAATGCGCGGATCTCGCATTTAGGCGGGCGTAATGCACAGATCTGGCATTTCGCGTGCCAAAATGCGTGGATCTCGCACTTCGCCCACCAAAATTGGCAGATCTCGCGTTTAGGTCGGCGAAACGCGCGGATCCGGCATTTCGCCTGCCGGAATGCCCGGATCTCGCGTTTTGGTGGGCGAAATGCGAGGATATGTTTTGCACGTGGATCTGCCAAAAAAAAAAAAAAAAACAAAAAAAAAAACCAGGCACACACCTGGACTGCGTTGAGCGGCACGTGGCCATCGGTGCAGGCGGAGATGAAGTTGATGACGAGCGCCGCCACGTTGACGGTGAGCTGGAACTGAATGAACTTCTGGATGTTGGCGAACACTGACCGCCCCCACCGCACCACCTGCACAGCGAGGTAGAGAGAGAGAGGGGGGGGGAGAGGAGAGGAGTACAACGCCGGGACAGGGGCGCATGGGTTGGGTTGGGAATACACGGGAATATGCGAGTCATGAGGCACAGATCGAGCGCAGTGGGCGTAAATCGGGCAAGGAACCTCCGTGCCAATTTGAGAAAGAAAAAAAACACCTACAGTGATAATCAGGTCCGGAGCCCACCTTGACAATGGAGGTGAAGTTGTCATCAAGAATGACGATGTCAGAGCTTTCCTTGGCCACCTCCGTGCCGGAGAGACCCATGGAGAGGCCAATGTCCGCCTCATGCAGCGCAGGAGCATCGTTCGTGCCGTCGCCCGTCACCGCCACCACCTCGCCCATGGACCGCAGCATCTTCACCAGCAGGTGCTTGTCCGTGGGGGACGAGCGCGCCATCACCTGGTGAGCGGGAAAGGGAGGCACGGGCGAAGCAGGGGGGGAAGGGGAGCGCAGGCAAGTCGAGGGCAAAGGATGGGCAGGGCAGATGGAACATGATTAGTATGCCCCCCTGTGACCGCCACCACCTTGCCCATGGACCGCAGCATCTTCACCAGCAGGGGAGGCGACCACGCGATCACCTGATAGGACGGATGGAGAGAGCGGAGGGAGGTTGACGCAAGGGCGGCACACGGGAGGGAGGGGGCCACAGGAAAGTGGAGCGCGAAGGAAGAGAAGCATTGATAGTACTGTCCACTGCAACCTCCACCACTTCATTGATCGGCAGGAGCAGTAGCAGCAGCAGCAGCAGCAGGCGCACTCACGTCGATGGTGGGGATGACTTGGATCATCTGCTCCTTGGACATGACTCGGAAGTCCTTGCCCTCGATCACGATCCCATCAGGAGTGATGATGCCGCACTCTGATGCGATGGCGCGCGCTGTGTGCACGTTGTCGCCCGTCACCATGCGCACCTGCACACTCACACACACAAGGGTAGGGACCAAGAGAGGTGTGAAAGCAGTGGTGAAGAATTAGGTTGACGAAGAAGAAGACAAGCAAAGTTGTGCCTTCTGGTAAGGGAGGGGGACAAGGGGAAACCAGGAGACAATGTATGCAATATTGTGAAAGCCGAAGTTGCCAGAATGGCTGGTTAATGACTGGCGGCAGGCAGGAGACAGGAGGTTGCTAGATAAGGCAGTCCAAGAAGTGAGAGGTTACATCTGGGAAGTGGGGAGAGGGGAAGGAGCAGAGCGAGGAGGTATGGTGGAATCGAGGCACAAAGGTAGGTACCTAGACAGGCTCCTGCGCGGAGAGAGGTACGGAGAGAGGTACGCAACGCAAGGGGTGGAGGACTGGACGTACCTTGACTCCTGCGTGTTGGCACCTGGCCACTGCTTCTGGCACTCCTGGTCGACAGGGGTCCTGTGATGCATACGCACAGCAAGAGAGGGATCCGCATTCATGTGCACACATGCACACACATGCACACACGTGCACAAGTTCACACGCGCCCCACACGACTCCCTCCAGTACCACTCCCTTCCACATGTACACACACACACACACACACACACACACACACACCGCCACGTGCACATCATCATTGGAACACACTATGGAAACACCATGCGACCGGCAGCCACACGAGGAAATCTGGAGTCAGCCTCACAGGGAGAAGAGAGGCACGGACCAGATTCGACCGGCAGACAAGGGTGCATGTCTCGAGAATCTCCAGACTCCAAACCACACATAGCGAAACTCCAAACATAGCCCATAACAGTCCCACGACAGTCCCACGACAGCCACCACAACAGACCCAAGACAATTCCACAGAAGTCCCATAACAGCCCCGTGACAGCCCCTTGACAGCCCTTTGACAGCCCCTTGACAGACCCTTGACAGCCCCTTGACAGCCCCTTGACAGCCCCTTGACAGCCCCTAGACAGCCCCTTGACAGCCCCTTGACAGGCCCCCGCCAGCCCCGTAACAGTCCCATGTCACTTCCAATGAGGGTGACGACGTGAGGCTGCACAGAAGCACTTTGATGATCTGTGCTGTTGAGGGTGAGCCCGCCATCACCCAACTTCCAGCCCTCGTTCTTCAAGCGCCAGAACAATAATAGCTCGCACACACGCACCTGGATACCCACGATGCTGATGAAAGCGAAGCTCTAAACACAGCGCAGAACAGTTCCACAACAGTCCCGTAGTAGCCAAGTAGTCCCCAAAAAGTCCCATGCCACGCACCTTGATGCCCACGATGCTGATGAGCGTGAGGCTGCCATCGGGGAACTTCCAGCCCTCGGTCTCTGCAGGCACTTCGGCGAGCGGGATGGGGGCGGTGGCCATGGCGATGCAGCGCAGCGAGCCAGCCGCCATGGTGGAGATCGCCTCCAGTACCTCCGCGCGCTGGGGGAGGCGAGGGGGGGGGGGGAAGGGCCGGGCAATGCCAGGAGGGGGAAATCGGGTGAGGACGGGGAGGGGATCAGGGGCATCCACAGCAGCTATGACCTCCAGCACCTCCTCCTACTGAGGGAGAATATATACTGTGCCTTTTCTTTTTTCTTTTTTAAGAAACAAGAGCATATGGCACCTTGGCATCGGTGAGGGGTTGAGTGGCGCCGTCAGCATCGAGCCATGCGATGCAGCCCGACAGGATGATCTCTGCTGCGCCCTTCCAGTGCACCACCACGTCCCCTCCCGGCCTCTGCGCCAGTTGAAGCACGCACAGCAGACAAACACGGGAAAAAGGGGAGACGCACCGCAGGCAAGGGAGGAGAGACGAGAGATGAGACATGCGGTGGATTGTGGGCTCGGAAAGAAATGGTGGAATAAAGCAAACGACGAGGGACATGTCACATGGGAGAAACACTAGTACAGCTGAAGGCCAAAATCGATCCAAAGCATGACCTCAACATACGACCAAACCATATACCCACCTCTCCCCCCCCCCCCCCTCTCTCCCCAAGCGAATGATCATTCGAACCGCACGGCACAGCTTCTGACCTTGATGGCAACCCCTGCGCGCTTCTTGGCGGAGTTGAACGCTTCCACTGCAATGATCTCGTTCTCGCGCCTCAGCCCGTTGTAGTCCATGCCAATCTGCCATGCCCCGCACCCGCATTCCCCCCATGCCACCATCACATGCATGCACGCCCATGGGTGGGTAGCGCAGTGAAGAGAGAGGGGAGGGGGGAGGGGAAAGAGAGGATTTGGGGGGTGGGGGGGGGGGGGGGGGGGGGGGGGGGGGGTGGGGGAGAAATGAGGGGAAACTTGTTTGGAAGGTTTGAAAGCTTAGTTACATGAGTAGAACACGCCCATGGGTGGGTAGCGCAGTGAAGAGAGAGGGGAGGGGGGAGGGGAAAGAGAGGATTTGGGGGGTGGGGGGGGGGGGGGGGGGGGGGGGAGGGTGGGGGAGAAATGAGGGGAAACTTGTTTGGAAGGTTTGAAAGCTTAGTTACATGAGTAGAACAGGCGAAGTGTGATGTCTAACAGGCAGTGTGCGTGCGATGCGAGAGTGCGGGGAACAGTAACTTTCCCTGCAGTTTGCGCTGGACAAATGCCCCTTAGCACTTGACTTCTCACCCCAATTCCCACTCTTCCCCTGGGTTTACTGCTGCAAGTGCTTACAGTCTAGAGTGTCTACAGTGAGTGCCCTGCGAAAGTGCTTACAGTGAGCGCCCATGAGATGATAGCTGCCTCAGTGGGGCTGCCAGACACCTCTGGGGGGCCGCCCTCCTGAAACGGACGCAGAGCAGCAACAATACAAGTGCCAGAGGGAGGGGTTGGGGGGGGGGGTTTGTGGGGGGCGGGGGCAAGCGTGAGGTCTGTTGTTGACGCCCCACACAACCGAACCACTCGACCCCTGAGTGGTGCGCGAAGGGTCCTACGAGAGAGTGGATGGGTAGAACGTGGTAGCAAGTGAGATGGAGAGTGAGGCACAGATGGAAGTGAGGCGCGGAGGAACTGGGTGAGGGGAAATGCCCCCGGGGTGAGTTGACCAAGACGAGTTCAACAACAGTGCAATTCCAAGCTCGATCCCACAGACAGCAGATGAATCTACGGATGAATGCACCGATGGATGGATATACAGATGTTGAAGTACAGTGGCGAATCTGAAGAAGCACAGATGCACGAGGACGTACAGGAGGGGTGAAGACATTGCCAGTACTGTTGAGGGCAATGGCTTCAGATAACACCTGGGGAGGGGTGGGGTGGCAGAGAGATGCGGAGCGAGAGGAGAACGCAGAGAGTGGTGCGTGTGTAAGTGGAGGGGGCACGCAGGGTGGATGCTTGATGGAATGGATGTTGTTTTGGGACAATCAACAGGGCCGTCACTCAGAGAGTGAAGCAGGACAATATGTTACTCGACAGAAGCAGAGGAGCAAAAGACTATGTGCCAGAAAAGGGAGGGGTTTGGCCGGGAGAGGAGAAGGGAGGAGGAGGGGAGGGGGAAGGGGGGTTTGGGTGTTTAAGGCAGTTGTGGGGGTGGAGAGAGGGGATGCAGTTGGGCGGAGCGGAATGGCAGAGCAGTGGCAGAGCAGCCCACCTTCACAACAGGCGTTGGAACGGTCTCTCGATCTACAGAATCCTGCAGACTGCCTGAGTGCCATGCCCGTGTGGCTGTCATCTGCATTTCACAGAGACGGGACGGGGGGAGGGGGAAGGGACGGGAATGGTTGACTTGACTGTAGATGATAGAGGAAGCGAGGAAGGGCGGGGTTTTCCGATGCACTAAAGGCGGGAGTCATTATGAGTGTGCGCAGGTCTGCTTCATAACATGACAGCGTTGGGAGGAGGAAAGCCCCGGAATTCTAAAATAACCTCCCACGAGGCGACTCTCAACTCAAAACGTGGATTCCCATCACCTGGTGTGAATACATGCATGCATGCATGGATGCACCCCTCCCACAATGCGCACACACACATGCATGCATGAGGCCTGCATGCAACCCGCCCACAGCACGCACATTCCTCCCACAGCGCAAACTGGCACAGCATCGCACGCCCAGGTCAAGCCCACCCCACCCCACGTGCTGAGGCCCCCCGGAAGCGCACCTGGTTGAGAGTGAGCGTGCCAGTCTTGTCACTGCAGATGGTGGTGGCAGACCCCATGGTCTCACATGCCGCCAAGTGCCGCACCTGAGCAGACGATCAACCGACGAGGAGGGCGGGCAGGGAACAGAACAGCAGTAGAGCGTGAGCAGCATGTGAGAGGGGAGTTGAGAGCCGCGGGGCACATGGGCCTGCTGCGGTGAGGAGAGGGGATAGAGGAGGGAAGAGGAGAGCTGGTAGGGAAGAGGGGTCGTGAAGTAGAGGGGAGAGGTGTGATAACGAGGATGACAATATTGTAGGGACGGCGGACGTTGTAACAAAGCCGTAACTCACCAGAGCCTTGTCGTTCATCATCTTGTGCATGGAGTAGGCAAGCCTGAAACATGGACACAGGAGGACACAGCAGTGGTAACCACAGGTTTTACATGGAACGACCGCATGGTGCATGCGCAGAGACAACTGTGCATGTACGTTGCTAAGGGAAAGGAGTGAAGGGCTTGCAGGGAAGGTGACGAAACGAAGCGTAGGTGGGTGGGTGATTGTGAAAGGAGGGGGTGGCTGGCTTGGAGAAACTGAGGGTTGCGGGTGGAGTGAGTAAGATGGTGGTGCTTGCTGTGGCTGGCTCACGTTAATGTGACTGCGAGGGGAAGCCCTTCCGGCACAGCCACCACAATGATGGTCACCTGCACTCACACACATCACACACATATGCACACACACACGCGCTCGCGCACACACACACACACACACACAAAACACGCTCACACGCACGCACAAGTGCACTCACACACACACACACACACACACAATGAGGGGTTGTTTAGGGAAAGTGGTGGTTTGGGGGGGGAGCAGGGCTAAAGTGGAGGTTGGAGAGTTGGGGAAAGGGCAGAAAGAGAAGAAAAAGGGTGCCAATTGGGCAAAGCAGGAGTGCAAAGTGGGAACTGACTGCACAATGGAGAAGTCACGAGCACCAGAACCAGAAACACCCTGCTTCAGAGTCGACTCAGAAGCGAATCGGAGACTCACGGAGATGGAGAAGTTGTCAGCAACATCCTCGAAGCTAGACATGAGCAACGAGGCGAGGAATTCCTCGCCTCGGAATTCAGCTATTCGAGGATTCTAACTTGGCAAAATTCCTCGCCGAGGATTCCTCGCCTCGCCTCGCCGAGGAATTTTTGCCTCGCGAGGAATTTGTACCAGCGCGCCTCAGAGCACGCTGGTACAAACTAAAAAAATGTGGGTTGGCTGATCCTTTTTTTCTGGATCAGCCAAGCCTAGCATTTTCGTTTTGAGGTAGTGTAAAGCTTGTGCAGGCTCCTTTGAGCTAATGCCTGCCATTTCGTTAGCTTAAACTCAATTCATGGGGGGGGGGGGGGAGGGGGGGAGGAGTGTTGACTTGGCACACTAGGGATAGTGTTAGTGTGACGGGGGATTTGCTGAAGCAAAAAACAGCGTGCATTGGGAGGCAAATAGGCCTGTAGGGCGACCATTAGAGCTACTCCAAGCACGCCTGTTAAAAGCCAGCAAGCTCCGGGCCGGGAGGAATGGGCCAATTACCAGCAAGTTCCTCTAGGTGTTTTGTACATTTCTGCCCAATTCCCAACAAAATTGTCAAAACGAGGCGAGGATTCCTTGCCTCAGGGCGAGGAATTTTCCCTCGGGGCGAGGAAAAAAATACTCGCTCCCTAAACCCAAGGGACTGAATTTTTTTCCCCAAAATTCCTCGGCGAGGAATCCTCGCCTCGCCTCGTGCTCATGTCTACTCGAAGCCCTCCGTGGTGGATTTGCCAGGGGTGTACGTGGCGGCAGAGTACACCAGGAACACTGTGCTTTCGAATCGGAGACTCAGAAGTGAATCGGAGACTCAAGAGCGAATCGGAGACTCAGGAGCGAATCGGAGACTCAGGAGCGAATCGGAGACTCAGGAGCGAATCGGAGACTCGAGAGCGAATCGGAGACTCACGGCGATGGAAAAGTCGTCGACAATGTCCTTGAAGACCTCGACGGGCGACTTCCCAGGCACGTAGGTGGCGGCGTAGCGGATGATGAGCACGAGGAACACCATCACCGCCACCACCAGCCCCAGCTTGCCGATGGACGTCGCCAGCCCGTTCAAGCGAACCTGCAGGAGGGGGAGGGCGGGGGGGAGACGGGAGGGGGAGACGGGAGGGGGAGAGAAGTGTTTGGAAAGGCAATGCTGAGATGCCTAAAGAAAACGGAGCCAGTTTCCAATTCGACAGGATCCAGGGGGGGGGGGACAGGAGGGGATACGAGAACAGGGGGCAGGCAGGAGGGAAGAATCCAGTGGTGGTGGTGGGTGCTGTGGGCAGGGGTGGTGGGTGCTGTGGCTGACGACGGGTGTGAAGGAGAACCCAGGATGCCGAATGGAGAAAGGCGAAGGGAGGCGCACACAGAAAGAGAGGAGCATGCACAAGGCAAGAAAGGGAAGGGGGGGAAGAGGGCGGAGGGGAGCAGAGGGGGTGGAGGGGGGGGGGGGGGTGTTGGGGGGGGAGGGGGGGCCACACCTGCAGAGGTGTCTCAGAGTCATCATCATCGTTGATGGTAGCCATGACTCGCCCCCACTCCGTGCTCGTACCCACAGCCGTGATCTGAGAGGGGCGAGAGGGGGCGGGGGGTTGAAGGTGAGGAGAGAAGGGCATGAGTTGGGTGGGCATGGAAGGAAGTGCGCCAGCAGCAGACTGGGTTCGCATGAGAGCGAGCCGAGCAGTGAGAGTGCTGCAGCATGGTGGTACACGACACAGGGTTTAGGGTTTCGACAGGGAATGCAACCGGAGGAACAACAGACAGGACTTTCCCACAGGCAACGCAAGGGGGGTTGTTGCCAGACAGGAGATGCAGCGACTGCAGGAACGAGCATCATATGCTGATACAGGCAGAGCACAGACAGCAAGGCGAGAGAGAGGGCAAGCAGTGTGGGTGGGTGAGACGCCCCAGGCATGATTCCTCGTCGTGCTCGAGGCGAATCAAGCACAGAATTGATTCACTGCCAGACTGTGCTGTTATCTGATTCAATAGAGCCATGACTCACCACCATGCTGCCGTAACCATCAAGGACTTTGCAGCCGGAGAGAAGGTACGGCCGCTTGGAGTCCTTGTGCATCTGCAAGGCACACGCACAGCAGAGCACACGCACAGCAGAGCACCACGCAGCAGAGCACACGAACAGCAGAGCACACGCACAGCAGAGCACCGCGCAGCAGAGCACACGAACAGCAGAGCACCGTGCAGCAGAGCAGGACGCGGCAAGGCAAAGCATAGCAAAGTGCAGCGCAGCACAGCCGAGCATACCAGATCACAGCAGAGCACAGCAGAACACAGCAGAGCACAGCAGAGCATCCCAGATCACAGCAGAGCACAGAAGAACACAACAGAACACAGCAGAGCACAGAGGAGCACAGCAGAGCACAGCGGAGCACAGCAGACCACAGCAGGACACAGCAGAGCACGCACCAGACAGCACAGAGAGAAAACGGGTTAGGAGCACCACTTCGAAAGCGGCTGAGTTGATTCAGTAGCATCACATGCACACCTAGGAGGGCGAGACAGTTGGAAAGAGTGAGCGAGGAATGAGAGGGGACGATACAGTGGGGGCCGGGGGGGGAGGCCGGGTGGGGTGTGGGAGAGGGCGAGAGGAGGAGAAGAATGGGCAGCAGGGCAGCACTCACAGGGTCACTTTCTCCAGTCTGGGCGCCTCATCTTGAGGCGCCTTTAAGCAGCACTTACAAGATCGCTCTCAACGATCACTCACCGGGTCACTTTCGCCTGTCATGGACGCCTCGTCGATTGTGAGGGAATGGCCCGACACCAACAGTCCGTCTCCCGGGACCTGCGGGCGAGCAGAGGAGCGGGGGGGGGGGCAGGGGAGGGAGGAGAGCAGAGGAGGGGGGGGGAGTAACGGAAAGGGGAGGAGAAACATGCTTGTAAAACAAGGGCAAAGAGAAAAGGGTGTGCAGTGCGTCGCTACTGGCATCCAAGTGGCTGCTTCTTACCTGATCGCCGATGGCGAGCGGCACAATGTCCCCCACCACAAGAGTGAAGATAGACACCGTCTGAACGCGGCCGCCTCTTAACACCTGGTGAGAAGAAACGGGCGGGTGGATGGAGAGGGCAGATGAGCCGGGCAGATGAGCTGGGCAGATGAGCCGAGCAGATGAGCCGGGCAGATGAGCCATGGCTAACTGAAAAGGGCACAACACAACACAGTGCATGCAGAGCGCTGCTGCTTCTGGGAAAGCCTCTGAGAAGGCTTTTGAGAAAGCGAGTGGGAGAGCTTGTGGAAGATGTGAAGACAGTGTGCAATGAAACATGCAATGCAGTACAACACAACACACGGGGCCGGTCGGCCTCTCACCTTGAGCTGTATATTCGCTTTCTCGGCATCCAAGCCACGGAATTGCAATGACTGACGATAATCACTGAAGGCTGGTGCAACACAGAGTGGACATGAATAGGAGAGACACGCACGCATATCAGAGTAAGCGCGAGAGGGGGAGGGGTGGTGGGGAGGGGGAAGGGGGAGACGGGAGAGGGATGGAAGAAGAGAAATGCAAAGGAACCATGCCAAAGAGCAAAGACGGAAGCGGGCAAGAGAGGGCAAGGCAGTGTCTGTATACATACCTGTGACGAAGATGACGAGGATGACCGCAATGGCAATGGCAACTCCATCGTACCACCCTTCCTTTGTGCCCTGCAACACAGCAATCGGCCGCAGCAAGTGCCAGCAGCAAGTGCCAGTACACGGGAGTTTAATATCCGCCGGTCGCGCAAGCATGCACCACGAGTATATTAAGATGGGGAAAATCCAAGCGGTTCTGAAGAGAAGGGCACGATGGCTGGGATCGAAAGCGGGAAGGAGGGTATACCTCTGCAATGAGGCCGAAGGTGAGTGATAGGAAGGCGCAGAACATGAGGATGATGAGCGTGGTGTCCTGTGCCGCCTCCCAGACGAACACCTGCGAAGCAGGGAGACAAGGGAAGGGCACAGGGGGTACAGGGGGTACGGGGGTACGAGGCATAGGGGGGGGGGGTATGGGGGTTATAGGGGGGGTATAGGAGGGGTTATAGGGGGGTATAGGTGTGGCATCGGGGTTAGGGGGGAGTGGATGGATGGGCACAACATATCTGTACGTGAGCTACGCGGCACAAACAGAAGCGCGCTCGCACATACGCAAGCATGCACCCACGCACACACACACACACACACACACACACACACACACACACACACACACACACACACACACACACACACACACACACCAGCATCCACCATGCTCTCTACACATGCTGACCAACCCAAGCTCATACACAAACGCTGGCATGCACAAGAAAGTGCAGGAGAAATCAAGGACAGGAGGGGGAGGGGAGGGAGGGGGAGGGGAGGATTGCTTACGAGGAAGGACTTGTAGGGTTTCTCGGGGTACGTGTTGGTGCCAAACTCCTCCTTTCTCTTCGCCAGATCCTCCTCGTCCCCCGGAACCCCCACCTCCGGGTCCACCCGCAGGGCGCGGCACACAGCAGGCACCTGGCCAAGTGAACGGGGGCGTGCTAGGGCGGGAATTAGGTGAGACGCGGCCAGGGGTTGCTGTGATCGCACAGGAGCGGTTAGATGAACAAACTCAAGAGAATTGTCTGTTCCGGTCCAGTCCGGTCCAGTCCCATGGAGAAAGCTGATTAGGAGAGTAGGATGTTCTCGCATTCGAGTTCGTTCGTCCTTCATCTCAGCGTTCAGTAGGTGCTTTGGAGCAAGAGTGACAGGCAATGAGCACGCGAAGAGCAGCCGAACAACTCGCCCAAACCACTCTAAACCAGCAAAGTGGCTTACGTCTCTCCCTTCGACTTTCCACCCTCGACCCCCCTTCCCACAGTCACACGCACAGACACGCACACACTTTGTCTCTCCACCAACTCACTACCCTTTCAATCCCACTCGTCAAGAAAACAGGCTCCGTCAAATCGACTCACCCCTCCAATCTCATCCAGCGCCTCGACAAGAGAGTCCTCGTTAACAGTCACAAGCTGCTCCTTCGTGAAGCCAAAACCGTCGCCAAAATCCTCTGAAGCAGCAGGGCAGCAGAAAAGAAATCATGTGCCATTGTTGTTAGAGAACAAGGGCACCTCCCAACAGGAGGATACAATCCTCCAAACAGCAAGCAGTACGTAGGCACAGAGTGCGCAGAAACTATCCGGGCGACAGGAATCAATCACTGGGACGAGAAGAAGCAACGCGCAAAAGAAGCAAGCCGCAAGTCAAGGAGTCGGTTGTAGGGAAGGGAGGTCGCAGGCAGAAACCGGTTAGCTGCAGGCGAGGCTCAGAGGTACGGCTCACGCTCACCCTTGATAGTGTATCGCTTTTGTCTCTGTTGCCCGGCCTTCTTGAACCTGTTCAGCGCCTGCAGGGCAAGCAAAGCCCAGCATCAAAGGAACCATGCACACAGCAGGGGAGTGCGGTCCATGGAAAGAGAGGGAGCCTTGAGCAAGCGCAAACGAGAACCCATGATAAGGGCTGGAAGGAGCGAGAAAGAAATGGCTTCTCAGGATGGCACAGAAGCGATCTCGGCGCAAAATGACAGACTGCTGAAAGCGGGAGGAGGGGGGGTTAGGCGGGCGGGAGCGCGCGCGCGCGCGCAGCAGCAGCAAACGCTTTCGGATGCTACAGGAACGGCTTGGTGATAACGTGCGGCAGCGAGGCCAACTTCTAGTCATTTCCATGCCACGCGATTGGGTCACTCGTCTAACCTAACGGAAATCGCACCACAACACCACGAGCGAAGGGCTCAATGCATGCACGAGCGGCTCGCTTAAAGCAACGCGACGACGTTGCTACGGATTGGTGGGTAAGGACGGTAATGCTCTGTTCGCTCCCGTTACCCGACCTGACGAAAGATATGCGTCCAACTGATCAGAACCAACCGCAATTTCCCTGGCCACTTAAACGCTTATTCAGCTCCCCAAGCTATCCCTGCCCCCTCTCTGTATCGTCGACTCTGCCTTCTCAGATTCCCCATCCGCTCCGCTCCCAAAACCGCTTTGTATCCACCCGCTGTCCAACTAACCGCTCCGTATCTACTACCACAGCGAACCCTAAAGTATCCGGACCTCGTTACACTCACCAGCAGAGCGTGGCCGCTCGTCCGGAATCGCTCCGCGGGCGTTCTTTTAACGGGGACCTTGTCGTCCGTGTTGAGCTTGGCGGTGTAGCGGAACCGTCTAGTGGCGTTGAGCACGAGAGTCGCTTGCTGTGCGCGCGCGGTGTAGAGAAAGCCCACGCGAGATGCAGCGCACATGGAAAGGCAGATGGCGGGGGAGCGGAGGGAGCGGAGTGAGAGGAGTGAGCGGAGGGAGCGGAGGGAGCGGAGAGGAGAGCAGGGGGGAGCGGAAAGTTTACGAACGAAACAAGCAGAACTTACGAAACCATGAGGCGACGAAAAGACAGGGAAAAGGTTGCGACACGGGCACAAAGGATAAAGAAACAACGAGGCGATGGGAACGGAAGCGAAGAAGAACGTCAAGCGCAAGAGTCGAGGTGCCGTGTCATACTAAGGCGCGTCGTCCTAAGAAGACCCAGTACCCTGCGCCTGAGTCCACTCAGAAATCGCTCGTATTAGCCAAGAATAGGGAGGATGCGGCTGGGTACCCTAACCGCGAGCTTGCAGAGACAGAACTTCCATATTTAAGCAATGCCGCACGCTCGGGTGTAGGCTCGACATTTGCTGCTGACTGCAAGCAGCGATAATTTGCTTCAACTTAGAATGAATAAATCAATCAATGAAGGTCGTGAAACAAGCATCCAGCAGGCAATTGGTGGCTATGACACGATTTTCCGATACCCTAAAACTGGAAAACGAAGAAGCAACTAATTCACTCTATCGTTGCGTACTGGCTTGGAAAGGGCTTTCACATAAAACCTAGGGCGAGGTTCACGAGAACCGATCGTGCGATTAAAAGAACGGAAAACACAAGGGGGAAACCTCAGAATTGCTGCTAGAGAAGAGACCTCAGTGATCCGTTTGGTTTGGTTTACCAGCCAGCGCACGGACGCTGCTAGACTTACTCTCCACTTTAGCAGCGCCTCGGGCTCCGGCTCCTTGTGCGGGATTTCGAAGACGTTCTCGTGGCTGTCCTCGTAGTCGTCTTGGTCCACGTCCATCGCCTCCCCCACCATCTTCAGCAGCAGCGCGAGCTAAGGAACTCCCGTCCAAGCTCCTGCAATCCGTGACGTAGGAAGCAAACGGTCCTTCACAAAAATCGCCGAGGAAAGTGTTGAGAGAGAGCCTGATGCGTAGGCCACCGCAACGCTGACGCTAACTAGGCAAGGTACGCGGCAAACGACTCTCGTCCGTCAATATTAGATACCGATAGAAACCGATCAGCGGCTGACAACGATGCTGCTGGATGATGGCGCGATGCAATGGAGCACAAGGATTGAGAGAAAAGAAACACGCTACTGTACTTGGTACACAGTCCTGTCCTGTCCTCCCACTTCACTCAGCTTTCTCTTTTCTCGCCTCTCGCTCAGCCTACACCAAAATCAGCCTGCTTTCTGCTCCTCCCAGCTGACAGTGCTCTTCTTGACTCGATGCAGATGTGATTGGCCTGACTGACCTGCTTCCTGGTGGCTGGTGATTGGTGCGGGTTGGCTGCTGCTGCTGCGAAACACTCTGTTTCCACGCCCGCTGCTAATGTTTCGTGCACTGCACAGCCCCTACAGGTAAACAACACACACCACCACCACCCTCCCACTGCCTTCAGATCGGACACTTTCCCAGCCAACTCCAGATCAAAACCGCGTGGCTGCTGGACGGAGCTACAGAGTGCGACCAGTTAAAAGCTGGAAATGAGCTAACGTTGGGGTTGGTTCGACGGCAAAAGGAGAAAATTGCGAGGTTTCGGTTCGGGCAGGCGGCAAGGATGCAGATTGAACAAGGCGGTTGTACTGTACGAGGTTCAGATTTGGGAGGTACTTTCTGAGGATTCGGGTAGGTTCAGCTTTGAAATATATGTCTTTGTCCTATGAGAGCGTACCATGTGTTAGCCTGGATTGTGGCTTGGAAGAAAGGGCAAAGGGGAAGATGACGTGTGAAACGCGGAGCGGAGGGTGAAAAAGTTGCGCGGCTTCCTCGCCGGTAACGTGTGCGCAGTGTTCGCCCCCTGTCGGGGGAGAGATGGGAGCCCCATGTCGCCACGCCAGCCTCGTTATCCTGCCCGAAACCGCGTTACCCATGCCGTGCGACGCTGGTGCGACGGCGTGAAGCAGGTTTCTTGTTGTTGGCCCGTCCAACTGGGATCGTGGGGAGGAGGGGAGGCAGCTTGTGGATGAGTGCTGCTCAAGCCGAACCAAAAGTCCTCTCTCGAACCAGGCAAGGCTCGGCCAAGCCTTGCACTCGAAACTTAGGCGGGAAAATATTAATTATGGACGTCGGGTTACAGAATGGTTCCGTAAGCTCCCGGAACGGTTGAAACGTTTCCGCTTTCTGTAACGTGACGTCATGTCGATGGAGGTCAGGTTTTGAATCACTTTATACACCTCCTTACTATAAGGTTTGTGGTGTACCAGTAACGGTATTGAGTTATGAGTGCATAAAATTTCTTTAAAATCATCAAATATAATTCGTTACGATAAGGAATTACTTACATTCCTGAAAGTGACACCCGAGCCGTAACCCCTTGTTGGGTTTGGATTTATGACAAACAACTTGTCAAGTGTCAACAAATATTTGTATATGTTATAGGCTAGATGGGTGCATGCTCATAGAGAGTACAACTCCTTAGGACAAAACCACCATGTGTCACTTATTCTAGTTCATTGCGTTATTCTTAAATGGTATCACGCCAGGTTAGGTCCCCCTCCCCGCTTACGCTTCCGCCCCTACCCCTAGCCCTAGCCCTAGCCCGTGTGACGTGTCCTAACCGTGTTCTAGCCGTGCCCTTTGCCTAGCCGCGCCCGCGCCCTAGCTCTGTCCGCGCCGGCCACGTCACTTCGCGCCGGCCCTGTTAGTTCATACCGGCCTCGCTAGTTCGCGTCGGCCCCGCTAGTTCGCGCTGACCCCGCCGCTTCGTGCTGGCCCTGTTACTTCGCGCCGACCCGCTAGTTCGCGCTGGCCCCATCAGTTCGCACCGGCCCAGTCAGTTCGCGCCGGCCCCGCTAGTTAGTGCCGGCCCCGTTGCTTTGCGCTGGCCACGTCAGTTCGCGCCGACCCCGCTAGTTCGCAGCGACGCAGTCACGTCGCGCCGGCCCCATCAGTTTGCGCCGGTCCCGCTATTTCGCGCCGACCCCGTCACTTCACGATGGCCCCGCTAGTCCGCGTCGGCCCTGCTAGCCCGTGCCGGCCCCGCCACTTCGCGCCAGCCCTGCTAGTTCACGCCAGCCTTGCCATTTCGCACCGGCCCCATCCCTCGTACCGGTCCCCGTTCGAGCCGGCCTCAGTTCGCGCTGGCCCCTTTTCCCGCCATACCGCGGTGCCGCCGTGCTGCCGTGCCGCCGTGCTGCCGTGTCGCCGTGCTGCCGTGCCGACGTGCTGCCGTGCCGACGTGCCGCCGTACCGCTGTGTCGTCGTGCCGCCGTTCTGCCATACCGCCGTATCGTCGTGCCACCGTATCGTTGTACCGTCATGTCGCCATGCCGCTGGGCCCCTGTATCGCGGTGCCGTTGTCAGCTGTTGCAGCCGTGGTGATGGCGGACATTGTGCTCCACTTGGACGCGGAAGGTCGGGCGATCGACTTTGAGGCGTGGATCGTCGACCTCCGCCGTCAGCTTACAGGTCAGAGCCAGGACTGCTTCTCCCTGGCCATCCATGTCGACGGTAAGCTTCCCTGCCCCGCCGCGCCTGCTGCCCTCTCTGGTGCTCCCACATCTTCTGAGTGTGAGGCATTTACCGCTGCTGAGCTTGCCCACGCTGTCTGGGAGTCGTGCGACGCGGTAGCGCAGCTTGCTATTAGTCACGCCCTCCCCCTGTCTGAGCGTCCCTGCTTTACGGCTGTAGTGAATACAAAGAAATAATTAGATGCAGTCATTGCGTGCTATTCCACTCCCTCCTCCGCCTCAGCCGACCGTCTGATCCTCCCCATGTTGTTCCTGGATCTTGCGTCCTTCCAAACTATTATTGACATTGCCACTTATCTGCGCACACTTGAGACTAGTTACCGCGCCGCTAGCACTGAGGCCCAGCTCACTACATTTCCTCCTCCCCTCCGCGCTACCCTTTACCTCATTGACACGTGCTTTCCTAACCGCCTTGCCACTGCCCACGACCAGTTCCTTAGTCAGCACCCAGATGACCTCACCCTTCGTGCCTTTGTCATCGTCCTATCCGCAATAGAGACCGGTCAGCGCACTATCGCTCAGTCTAGTGGTATTGCGGTGGTCCCTATCTTCCAGGCTCGTGCTCCCTCCCAGTGCACTTACTCTTACGTCTCTGCCGCTGTTGCTGAGATGGCCCCTGCTGCTAAAACCGTTGCGGCAGCCTCGGCGCAGGCTCATCGGGGAAAGGGTGTGACAAACGGAATTGATGATTGGATTAGGAAAGGAGTGGGTATACATAGGTGAGGAGTAGGAGGGGGGGTTTGGTTGGGAGGTGACCACGAATATTGGTGACCCCAATAAGTTGAGTTGGCCAACTTATTGGGGGTCCAATAATCCTAGCCAAGATTATTGGTGGGTCCAATAATCTTGGTTGGGATTATAGGGGGTTCCAAGAATTGAGAGCCCAACCAATTTGGGAACCCAACAAGGTTGGGATCCCAACCCCCAACTTGGGTGTATACACCCTAGTGGGGTGCTTATAAAGTACCTAAGGCAATGAAACGATGTAGGCTAATAGAATTAAGGGAGAATAATTGAACAAAGGGACGTCAGGCCAGGGGGGGGCGTGGTGGCAGGAGGGGTGGTGGGGGTGGCGAAGGTGGCGAGGGTGGCGACGGAGGAGGAGGGGACGGTAGTGCAAACAGGGGGACTAGTACTGATGCCCTGGTGCAGCAGTAGGAGCAGCGGCAGTAGCCCCAGGAGCAGCAGCAGTCGCAGCAGCTATCGTGGGGACCCCCGCCGCTGTGGTGGCCGAGCGGCGCTGGTGATGGTGGTCGTGGTGGTGGGCCGCGCAGCTCGGTGTCGGGTGGCGGCTCCAGTGTGGTCACCTGCCAGTACCAGCTTCAGTCCGACCCCCGCCGCAACACCGTCTACAACCGTCCAGGTCACACCGCCGCGCGCTGCTACCGCCGCCTAAACGACCTCTTCCGTCTCCACTTCGGCCCCACGTCGGACTCCCCCAATAGGTACAGCCTGGTGCGTCGCCCGGTGCCTGTCTTTGAGCTGGATATGGATCAGATTAGGTCTGCTACAGTATGTATGTCATGTATGCTGATGAGGCTAGTGTGATTGGAACCTATTACCCTGTGTCATCTGGTGTTGGTGTGTCCACTGTGTGTTTCCGAGGTTCCCCTGCTGAGTCAGGCGTAGGACCACTTGCTTTGTTTAGCTTCGGCTCCACTCTAGCTCCTCCGCCTTCGGACACTACCACCGCGCTCTCTTTCACGCTAGACTCGGGTGCGTCCGCCTGCTTCTTTCGTGACCACACTGTGCTCACGCCGCTTGCTGCCCCTGCCACTGTAGCGCTTGCTGCACGTAGCTCCACAACCCTTCCTTGTGCGATGGTTCCCTCGGGCTCCCTTACAGGCTTGCACATCCCCTCGTTCTCGAGAAACCTAGTTGGTGTCGGCTGTCTTAAGGACCTCACAATTACCACTATGTTTCCTGGTTACGAGCAGTACAAAGTCTGCACCGAGGCCACCACTGGTGCCCATCTCACCACGTTCCCCTGGGACCCGGTGTTAGGCCTGTTCGCTCTAGACATCTCGTCCCCCGCGGTGGGAGCGTCCCCCCAGGTGGTCGCGCCCTCCCAGGTCGTTGCAGCTTGCTCGTGTCGATCGCTCACCCACCCATCACGCCTGTGGCACCACCGCTTGGGTCAACCCGCACTCCCACCTCTGCGTCATATCTCCCAGCACGGTCTTGTCTTAGGTCACCCTGCATCATTCCCTGCCCTCCCTCCCTCGTCTACGCCACTATGCACGCCCTGCGTCGAGGGCCGGCTGCGCCGTGCCCCTCACTCCTCCTCGCTTCCCCCTACCACTGCGCCAATCCAGACCCTACACCTGGACATCTGGAGCCCATCCCCCGTCCCTGGGCCTTGTTGAGAGCGCTACATTTTGGTGCGCGTCAACGACTACACGTGCTACACCATGGTGTTTCCCCTAGAGCGGAAGGCACGCATGCTTAACGTTCTTATCTCATGGGTCGTAGCTGCGCAAGTCCACCGCGGCATCCCTGTGTTGCGTCTTCACTTCGACCGTGGCGGCGAGTTCGCCCCCGGTCGGCTTGGCCTGTTGTGTCGTGCGGAGGGCATCTCCCAGTCAAACACCCTGCCGGACTCCCCGCAGCAGAATGGGGTCGCTGAGCGACGAATAGGTTTGGTTATGGAGGTGGCTCGTACCTCCATGATCCATGCCGGTGCACCCTATTTTCTGTGGCCATTCGCTTTTTGCTACGCCACTCACCAGCTTAATCTGTGGCCACACTCCCAGCGACCACAGGTTTCGTCGACTCTCCCCTGGACCGGGTCCCTTGGTGATGCGTTTGCGTTCCACGTTTGGGGCTGCCTCGCTCACGTTTATGCCTCTTGCATGGACAAGCTGAGTGCCTGCACTATCCCCTGTGTGTTCCTTGGCTTTCCCCTAGATGCGTCTGACTGGCACTTCTACCACCCGCCGTCGTCGCCGCCACAGAAATAGCCCCTGTCTGCGCAGGGGTTCGAGAGCTCTGGGGATGCGGGCATTGGGGAGGGTGTTGGTTATGGGGGTTCTCGTCCTAGGGGTACTGTCCTGGCTTGTCCGAACGGTCTTGGGGGTATACCCTCTCAGCATCCTGGCCACAAGCAGACACCGACCACAGCAGTGGTCGGCCGCTAAGAG